TGATTCAGATCTGTGGACCAATACAACTGCAATTAATTTTTCTTAGTAATGCCCATGTTGATGGTTAGGCCCCAAAAAAATGTAAATTCGGGAACTGTATTGGGTTTCCATGCAAATGGTCTGGCAAGGTTTGAATTTGGGATGGCGCCAATAAATTTGTTGTGCATATAAATTGCTTTGATCCACACAATCCATGCATACAGATATTCCGTGAAAAACCGCTCCAAAAAATCATGGGGAGTAGATAAATTTGCTGTTTCCACCTGAATTTCGGGTTGGGCAGTGAATGGGGGAAGTACGGGTGCTGCAGAATTTGTGGGCTGCGAATCGGGATTTGCAGGCATATCCGGAAGGATACTAGTGGATCTATGTGTCTGTGTGCGACTTCTTGGTGGCTGCCGGACAATACTTGTGCTTGCCACCGCACCAGCTCGTACTGCACTTATGGGACTCGCCACGTCACCAAGTGATGCTGCAGTGCTGGTATGTGAAAGATGTGAAAGACCAGGATGTACTAGGCCACTGGTGCTCACCAGTTCACCAAAAGGTAGAGCGGCACCAGTACTGGCACTGTGCTGCATATGAGAGTCATCAAAATGTACCGGCAAGTGCTAGCTAAGATCAGGCCTGATTCTACGAACACTGCGGTTTTGTGTTCAATGTATCAAGTGGCATTGACCTACTGACACTGCACTTGCTGTGGGAGAAAGGGGGGGGGGGGTAATCTTAGGGGCTAAATGCAGGTGACAGGGCTGATCCTGCTAATGCTGCATTTTTGGGGACACTATACTAATGTGAATGCTGGTATAGTGCTGATCTGATCAAAGATGTTGATCCAGTCAGACACTATACTAGCAATAGAGGTTTATTGTGTATGAGCGTGTTCCTGACAATCAAGGGGTTAAATGTGATTACTGGTGTACTGACGGGCAATCTGACGCTATTTGGGAGGGTCGTGAAAAATACGGGAGCATGAATTACTTTGTGTGTGTGTGTGTGTATATATATATATATATATATACAGTGGGAATCGAAAGTTTGGGCACCCCAGCTAAAAATTTGTATTAATGTGCATAAAGAAGCCAAGGAAAGATGGAAAAATCTCCAAAAGGCATCAAATTACAGATTAGACATTCTTATAATATATCAACAAAAGTTAGATTTTATTTCCATCATTTACACTTTCAAAATAATAGAAAACAAAAAAATGGCGTCTGCAAAAGTTTGGGCACCCTGCAGAATTTATAGCATGCACTACCCCCTTTGCAAAGCTGAGACCTGCCAGTGTCATGGATTGTTCTCAATCATCGTCTGGGAAGACCAGGTCATGTCAATCTCAAAGGTTTTAAATGCCCAGACTCATCTGACCTTGCCCCAACAATCAGCACCATGGGTTCTTCTAAGCAGTTGTCTAGAAAACTGAAACTGAAAATAGTTGACGCTCACAAAGCTGGAGAAGGCTATAAGAAGATAGCAAATCGTTTTCAGATGTCAATATCCTCTGTTCGAAATGTAATTAAGAAATGGCAGTCATCAGGAACAGTGGAAGTTAAAGTAACATCTGGATGACCAAGAAAAATATCAGACAGAACAGCTCGCAGGATTGTGAGAAAAACAATTCAAAACCCACGTTTGACTGCACAATCCCTCCAGAAAGATCTGGCAGACACTGGAGTTGTGGTACACTATTCCACTGTAAAGAGATACTTGTACAAATATGGTCTTCATGGAAGAGTCATCAGAAGAAAACCTCTTCTACGTCCTCACCACAAAAATCATCGTTTGAACTTTGCAAATGAACATATAGACAAGCCTGATGCATTTTGGAAACAAGTTCTGTGGACCAATGACGTTAAAATTGAACTTTTTGGCCGGAATGAGCAAAGGTACGTTTGGAGAAAAAGGGCACAGAATTTAATGAAAAGAACCTCTGTGCAACTGTTAAGCATGGGGTTGGATCAATCATGCTTTGGGGTTGTGTTGCAGCCAGTGGCACAGGGAACATCTCACGAGTAGAAGGAAAAATGGATTCAATAAAATTTCAGCAAATTTTGGATGGTAACTTGATGCCATCTGTGAAAAAGCTGAAGTTAAAGAGAGGATGGCTTCTACATATGGATAATGATCCTAAACACACCTCGAAATCCACGGGGGATTACATCAAGAGGCGTAAACTGAAGGTTTTGCCATGGCCATCACAATCTCCTGACCTCAACATAATTGAAAATCTATGGATAGACCTTAAAAGAGCAGTGCGTGACACAGCCCAGAAATCTCAAAGAACTGGAAGACTTTTGTAAGGAAGAATGGGCAAAGATACCTCAAACAAGAATTGAAAGACTCTTGGCTGGCTACAAAAAGCGTTTACAAGCTGTGATACTTGCCAAAGGGGGCAGTACAAGATATTAACTCTGCAGGGTGCCCAAACTTTTGCAGACGCCATTGTTTTGTTTTCTGTTATTTTGAAAGTGTAAATGATGGAAATAAAATCTAACTTTTGTTGACATAAGAATGTCTAATCTGTAATTTGATGCCTTTTGGAGATTTTTCCATCTTTCTTTGGCTTCTTTATGCACATTAATACAAATATTTAGCTGGGGTGCCCAAACTTTCAATCCCCACTGTGTGTGTGTGTGTGTGTATAGAGAGAGAGAGAGAGAGGTGTCTATATATATATATATATATATATATATATATATATATATATATATATACAGTTGTGTCCAAAATTATTCAACCCCCACTGAAATTGAGTGTTTTGGCCAGTTTGACATTGCTTTTGATCATTCAGTCATCTTGCTTACATTTACATTAAAGAGGCACTTGTAGGTCAGACAAATATAACATAACAGTTATAATGAAATAACCACAAATGTCTTTTCTGTGCTCACAGCATTATCAGTTTTATTCAACCCCCAAGTGACATTCAATCTTAGTACTTAGTACAGCATCCTTTTACAGTTATAACAGCTTTTAAACGTGAAGCATAGCTTGACACAAGTGTCTTGCAGCGATCTACGGGTATCTTCGCCCATTCTTCATGGGCAAAGGCCTCCAGTTCAGTCACATTCTTAGGCTTGCGCACTGCAACTGCTTTCTTTAAGTCCCACCAGAGGTTCTCAATCGGATTTAAGTCTGGTGACTGCGATGGCCACTCCAAAATGTTCCAGCCTTTCCTCTGCAACCATGCTCTAGTGGACTTGGAGGTATGCTTGGGATCATTGTCCTGTTGAAAGGTCCAACGTCTCCCAAGCCTCAGGTGTGTGACGGACTGCATCACGTTTCCATCCAATATCTCCTGGTACTGAAGAGAATTCATGGTACCTTGCACACGCTGAAGCTTCCCTGTACCTGCAGAAGCAAAACAGCCCCAAAGCATGATTGACCCTCCACCATGCTTCACAGTAGGCAAGGTGTTCTTTTCATCATAGGCCTTGTTCTTCCTCCTCCAAACATAGCGTTGATCCATGGGCCCAAACAGTTCTAATTTTGTTTCATCAGTCCACAGAACACTATCCCACAACTTTTGTGGTTTGTCCACATGGCTTTTGGCATACTGCAGTCGACTCTTCTTATTCTTTGGAGACAGCAAGGGGGTACGCCTGGAGTTCTGGCACGGAGGCCTTCATTACGCAGTGTGCGTCTTATTGTCTGGGCTGAATGTGCTCTGTACTTCTGTACCCACATCTGACAAATCTTTTCTCAGTTCCTCAGCAGTCACACGGGGACTTCTCTCCACTCTACGCTTCAGGTAGCGCACAGCAGTCGAAGTCAGCATCTTCTTTCTGCCACGACCAGGTAGCGTTTCAACAGTGCCCTTTGCCTTGAATTTGCGAATGATGCTTCCTAAGGTGTCTCTTGGTATGTTTAACATCTTTGCAATCTTCTTATAGCCATTGCCCTTCCTGTGAAGAGAAATCACCTCTTCTCTTGTCTTCCTGGACCATTCTCTTGCCTTCACCATGTTTGTAACCACACCAGTAAATGTCTAGAAGGAGCTGAGTATCACAGTCATTTTAAAGCTGCCTAATTGGTGCTTATTATGCTTGATTGCTGCTCGGTGACATCCACAGGTGTTTTCAATACCTGATGGAAAGCACCTGTATGAACCTCTGTTCTTCAGAGTGGTAGTCTTTAAGGGGTTGAATAATTGTGGCAATGAAGAAACCACATAAGAACCATTTACTACTGTATTACATAAACAATTGATGTCATTTTAGTTGCATTTGGGTAGTTACAACGTCCTTGTAGGATTTGATTCTGAATACAATTCCAAATGTACACTATAGTCCCTAAACCCCTTTACAGCATTGGGGGTTGAATAATTTTGGACACAACTGTATATATATATATATATATATATATATATATATATATAGTAAACAATGCAGCCCTCATCCCTGTCGGTGTTTGCCGGTAATCACCAGCCGGGGCCCGGTGATAGATTCCCAGGGGCACCTCCCCCCTAACCGGAAATGCAGGATACCGTTTATATTCGTGATCCTGCGCACAGGGGCCGCCTTGACTCAGTATATGTACTGTGGGCGGTCCCCTAGTGGTTAACTCACTGCCGGTGTGATTTCTCTATTGTCACCACCTGTTCATTGATACAGGTGAGTTTAATTACAAGAGCATCACAAACTTGGAATAAAATTATTTCTTACAATTTTGGAGAAGGTGGCAATAATTTTTTCCATTCCATTTTTGCAGTTTTGGGTAAAATGTCAGATTTGGCTTTTTGTTTCTCCCCTTTTTCGTGTCATACCAATATAAACAAAAGAAATAAACATGAGAATGCTTAAACATTTGTAATTGCAACAGTTTTCTGGGCAAAGTGATGCATTATCTGACAGAAATGCAGCGGTGCCAATATTTTGGGCCAAGACTGTAGATGTATGTATACACATGTACAGGAAGGACCATATGTATTGTGTACATACATAAAACATGGATAAAATTGTAGTACAAAATTCTAATTTTCTCCTCCTCCTCCTCCTCAGCTTCCCATCTCGAAGGAGTTCAACAGTGACCAGAGAAACGCCATTGAGAATGCCTATGCTATGGTTACACAGCACCCCCGATTGCCAAGAATATGTATGATCCATGGACCTCCTGGCACTGGAAAGTCAAAGACTATCGTTGGCTTGCTCTATAGAATTCTCATGGAGGTACATAGCTTTCTACAGTTCAGTGCAAAGCTGTTGTGGCTCTTCAGAGTTATATCAAAGTTTACTTAAAAATGAATGTTTAGTGGTTTTGATAAAATTTTTATTTTTTTCAATATGAGGAATAAAATAATTCAATTTTTTTAAAAAATATTGTACATGGATCTTTTGGCTAATATTTATAAAGTGGTGAATGTCTCATTCTCTGGACATCGCTGCAGGTGTATATTTCTAGTTCATGTGTTTTAAATTTACAGTGATTGATTCACCTGCAGTGAATGTTTTGGTAAATGTAATTCACAGCTTTATACCTACAGTTGCAAGAAAAAGTATGTGAGCCCCTTGGGATTACGTGGAGTTTTGCATGAATTGGGCATAAAATGTGCTCTGAACGTCATCTAAGTCACAACAATAGAAGAACACAGTCTGCTGAACATAATACTACACAAACATTAGATGTTGCCATGGTTTAATTGCACATAACAAGTAAACACTCACAGTGCAGGGAGGAAAAAGTATGTGAGGCCCTAGCTTAATGACTTCTCCCAGAGCTAATTGGAGCCAGGAGTGAGCCAACCTTGACTCCAATCAGTGTGATGATATTGGATGTGTTGCTGACAGCTGTCCTGCCCATAAAAAACACACACCTGTTTTGGGTTTACTGGTTTCAAGAAGCACTGTCTGATGTGAACCATGCCTCGCAGAAAAGAGCTCTCAGAAGACCTACGATCAAGAATTGTTGACTTGCATGAAGCTGGAAAGGGTTACAAAAGTATCTCCAAAAGCCTTGATGTTCATGTGTCCACGGTAAGACAGACTGTCTACAAATGGAGAAAGTTTAGCACTGTTGCTACTCTCCCTAGGCATGGTCACCCTGTAAAAATGACTGCTAGAGCACAGAATGCTGCATGAGGTAAAGAAGAATCCCAGAGTGTCGGCTAAAGACCTACAGAAATCTCTGGCACATGCTAACATTTTTTTGTTGACACATCTACAATAAGGAAAACATTTAAACAAGAATGGAGTACATGGGAGGACACCACGGAGGAAGCCATTGCTGTCCAAAAAGAATATTGCAGCACGATTGAAGTTTGCAAAAGAGCACCTGGATGTTCCACAGCACTACTGGCAAAATATACTGTGGACAGATGAAACCAAGATTGAGTTGTTTGGGAAGAACACACACTATGTGTGGAGAAAAAAAGGCACAGCACACCAACATCAAAAACCTCATCCCCACTGTAAAACATGGCGGAGGGAGCATCATGGTTTGGGGCTGCTTTGCTGCCTCAGGGCCTGGACGGATTGTTGTCATTGATGGGAAAATGAATTCCAGAGTTTATCAAGACATTTTGCAGGAAAACGTACGACCATCTGTCCGCCAACTGAAGCTCCGCAGAGGATGGGTGATGCAACAGGACAATGACCCAAAGCATACAAGTAATTCAACAAAACAATGGCTGCAACAGCACAGAATACGCCTTCTGGAGTGGCCCGGTCAGAGTCCTGACCTCAACCCGATTGAAATGCTGTGGCATGACCTTAAGAGAGCGATTCACACCAGACACCCCAAGAATATTGCTACACTGAAACAGTTTTGTGAAGAGGAGTGGTCCAAAATTACTCCAGATCGTTGTGCAGGTCGGATCTGCAACTACAGGAAACATTTGGTTGAGGTTATTGCTACCAAAGGAGGGTCAACCAGTTATTAAGTCCAAAGGTTCACATACTTTTTCCTCCCTGCACTGTGCATGTTTACATGTTATGTGCAATTAAACCATGGCAACATCTAATGTTTGTGTAGTATTATGTTCAGCAGACTGTGTTCTATTGTGACTTAGATGACATTCAGAGCACATTTTATGCCCAATTCATGCAAAACTCCACGTAATCCCAAGGGGTTCACATACTTTTTCTTGCAACTGTATTTATACATATTTTCATATGACATCAGCAGGTGGAGCTCTAGGGCCCTTTTACATGTGTTGCTGTACCTCCTTACTAGAGATATGGACTGATCTCTAACCTGAACAAAGAACTCTCACTTATTTCTACTTCATTGAGCTTTGGGCAAGATCATTACCCATCCTGCAGCTCACAAAAGTACAAAATAGTGGGCGTTTACGTTAGAGATGAGTGTGGAGACTGCCAAAGCTCATCTTTACTCTTTTGATGCCTTATGAGAAACTCAAATTTACAGGCAAGTGATGAGTTAGTAGTGATTCCTTTCTCTTCCTGCTGTTCTTTTGAGTGGCTGCATTCAAAATTCCAGTCAGAATTGGAGGCAAATGGTTTGACATGTTGCCTTCAGAAATATTTAGGACTCTGATAATTCTGTGTTATTCGTATATAATTTGCAGTAAATGTGTATTTGTAAAATCATTTTAAGGAAATAGAATAAAAAGGATAAAATATTTGGTTAAATGTAAAGATCTCAGAACTGACATGCAATCATTTTAGTTTCCATTAACCCTTTTGCTGCCCAATCCATTTTTGCATTTTATGCACAAGCATTAAAATTAACCCTGTAGACATGATAAAACCTCCAAACATATTTTATGAAAGCAGGGAACCTGTAGAATAAAATGGTGGTAACTGCACTTTGTCCAAGGATATTAGTGCAATTTTCTGTTAGGAATATGCTAGTTACTTTTAGGGCATGCAAACACAATATATTACCTATGTTTTATAAAATCTAAAAAATGAGGCTGTGCCAAGTAAATACCCAACATGGCTAGCCTTAAAGCAGATCTATGGTCAAAATGTGAAATCATTTCCACATTGTATTTCAATTCTTTCTAGCCTATGCCTAATAATCTGCATGCTCTTGAAGTTTGTAAATTTTACTTTGTGAAGATCCGCACAAATTTGCTTCCTTGAATTGTGTGACACATGTTAACTATGCCCTGTAAGTAGACACTGCTGTGTCACAGAATTCACTGAGCCTGCTTTCTAAACTACAGAAGCGCTGTGAGGATGAGTTGCAGGAAACTTAGTCAGTATATGGGTCTCTACATGCAAGCAGCAAGGTATTACGGGATATGTTGTCATTAGAAACTGAAAGTAAACCGAGGAGAAGCTGCAAAGCATGCAATGCAGGTATTTCAGCACGTTTTGGAAAGAAATGGTTGGTCAGCACACAGGCAGAACTCACTACATTAAAGGAGATTTTTCAAGTAAGCGTATATTGTATTGTCAAATATACAGTAACCATTGTTTGTATTGCCATTACAATGCTGATGTTAAAAATAAGTGTGTACTGTGACCCCAGAGTTCCTTTAAACTCCTGTGAAATGATGACAGATTTTGTTATTGCATTCTCCATGTCACGTCCTATAAGCTACACTTTACAATTTCTTTCTTCTGTAGAATAGCAATTGCCTTGACCCCTATATAATGGAGATGAAGCAATTTGACATGTTTGTAGTGCATATAAGGAGAGTAGTATAGGTTGACAAACATGGCTCCCTCCAAAGATACAGCAGAGGCATGATGTGGCAACCCTGTGACAGGAAGAGTGTTTGCAGGATTACCAGGTGAAAATAAAACAAAAGAAGCAAGAAAAAAGAAAACCAGCCACCATACCAAGCAATATGTTACATTTTTGGTTTTGAATTTTAATGCACTTCCCAGTGAATTATGGCCCTAGAAGTATTGCTCCCACCCCTGCATATGCAGCAATATTTAACATGTAGTGCAATATTTTTTTTCCATATGTAGCTGCACCCGACACGTGTTTATGTAAGTGCATGTATGTAGGGGTGGGAGCTTTAACAATGTTTGGGTGTTTTATTTTTTTTTTATGTTTACTTCAAATTTGTTTCTTACTTCGTAACTTAATCATAGTAAGATGGGACCAACAACACCACTACAGTTAAAACCTCCATACCCAGTGAGAATCCAATTGACACAGGTGCAGGTTAAACATCAATTGACGAAAACACAATAATGATACCTGAAACTTCACATCACATAACCAAAAATAAGATATATATTCAAAGTAAAGCAATATGTAACTTTGAAGGAGAGACCTGGTGTCCACAAATAAACAATACTCCTACTTTGAGGAACAAACTAATTGTCCCCCCTATTGTACAGCGCTGAGCAAACCCTTTGGCGCTATATAAACTCGTAGTAATAATAATAATCTCTTATTTAATTCTCGTGGTACTCAAGTATCCAGTTTGTGGATCCACCATGCATCTTGCATCCACAATTTCCTATCATAATCACTACCCATGACATGTTTAGTAACCTTTTATAGACCATAGAATTGGAAACCAGATAAACCACCTCCACAGATATCCTTGAAATGTTGAGACATTGCATACAGGTGATCTGCATTGCAATTGGTGGTTGCTGTATAGTGACTGCCAATTCTTGTTCTTACCAGGCGAATCGTACATCCTACATACTGTAGTGAGCACACTGCATAGGATTGTATAAATTACATTAGATGTGCCACAGTTAATCTTTGGCAAAGTCTCTCTATTTGCCATGGACTGAACTTGTGTTATCTTAAAGTGGTGTTCCAGCTGTTTGTGTTTATTAAAAGTCAGCAACTACAAAAACTGTAGCTTCTGATTTCTAATAAACATACACTTGCCTGTCCCGGGGTCCAGCGATGTACTCACCCACGCAGTCCCTTCTCTCCTTCTGTCCTCCATGGCACCAGCATCTCCACCGAATCGCCCCTCTCCTGGAAAAGGACGAATAAAGCAGAGCTTTACTGGAAGTTAGGCAGCTCATTGAGGTATGCATCAATGTAAACAAAATAGTTTCAGGGTCTCCCAGGTATCATTGCTAGACTCTTCCATGTTACGCAGTGTGGCTCTAAGGTCCTCCAATAAGGCCTTTGTTGGAGGATCAGCACTCCAACAAATTGGGATGCAGGCCTTCTGAATCTTTAGGGAGGTTTTTTTTTTAATAAGTCGCTCTGTCGCGTGCAACAAACAGGCCGCCCGGTTATCACGAAGTGAGTTGCTTAATGGCAGTGGTTACAT